GGTTGGGAGGGGAGAAAAGTGCAACAATGAATGAATGGAAATCCAAAGTCTCTGTAAATTTTTATTGAAATTAATAATAAATTTTTTTAAAAATTCAAAAAACCTCCAACAAATAGATTTTCAACCTACCACCTAGATTTTTCTTTGTTTGTACATGATGTTTGTGGAAATGCTTTAGAAATTCTGGGCCAGAAACATGGTTGTTGTTGTTGTTAACTGTTGAGTCTGAACCGACCCATAGCAGACACTCCGGCAGGTTTTCAGAGACAGTTAATCTTATGGGAGGAGATTGCCCATCCTTCTACCAAGGAGCAGCTGGTGTCCTTGGAACACGTGCCTTCAGGACTGCAACATAGCTTCTTGCCACTAGGCCACCAGAGGCACCAGAGCTTATAGCTTCTTCCCCCCGGAAAAGAACCAGAAACATGGTAGCCATACCAAATACCTTTAGGCTAATAGATAATAGTCAGCTCAACCCTGTTGCTAAAGGGTCCCCTCCCTATCTTTTTTTTAGTAGCTTTAGGAGAGTAGCTGTCACTGGCATATTGATGGAAGGCAACACTGATACCACAATAAACTTTTTTTTTAGCTGTTTATGTGCTCCACGTGCCGTACTTAGCCCTGTTCTGGGTCAACGCCTCTCTGGAAGTTGACTCATTTCCTATGAAGTTCTTCTGGCTGCCACCCTCTGTCAGAAACTGAGTGTGAAAATTACCCTATGCCAATTGCCTGGGCTTAACAACTTTTAACCATCCAGAAATATGAAAATGAAACTTCTTTGGTTAATCTTTATTGAATCATATTTGTAGTCAGTCCTGGTTCTACCCCTACCTCTCACTGTCAGGCTGGATGTGCCCTCACAATTTCTACTGAGAGTCTTAAAAATCAAGACCTCCTTTTTTTTCCAAGCTGCCGGAAAGATGGCGCACATCCAGACCAAGCGACTACCAGAAGCAGCCCACCATCTTCCAGAACAAAAAGGGAGTGCTGTTGGGTGAAACTGGCAAAGAAAAGCTCCCACGTTATTACAAGAACATCGGTCTGGGCTTCAAGACGCCCGAGGAGGCCATCGAGGGCACCTATATTGGTAAGAAATGTCCTTTCACTGGTAACGTCTCCATCCGAGGACGAATTCTGTCTGGTGTGGTGACAAAGATGAAGAAGCATTGTCATCTGCCGAGATTAACGCCACTACATCCGCAAGTACAGTCGCTTCGAGAAGCATCACAAGAACGTGTCCGTGCACCCGTCTCCCTGCTTCAGAGATGTCCAGATCGGCAACATTGTCACCGTGGGCGAGTGCCGGCCACTGAGCAAGACTGTGCGCTTCAACGTGCTCAAGGTCACCAAGGCCGTGGGCACCAAGAAGCAGTTCCAGAAGTTCTGAGCCGGACACTACCCTGAATGAAATAAAGCTATTTTTTTTTCCTGTTAAAAAAAAAAAAAATCAAGACCTCAGAAGGCTTCACCCACTAAGTAAGCTGATTTACTTCTCTTTCTGGAGCCTGTAAGCTAGACTCAGGAAAGTCCATAAATAATCATACAAATTATAGATATTGTTTTTGGGATAATATACAATTTTTGCACAGTTTAGAAACAGATAGGATTTCAAAAATTTAGCTTTTTAAAGTTATTCAGTTCTCTGAAACTTCTATAAAACATGGACCTCTAGAAGCAGAACTTTTAGAGATATTGCTGTACCTCTTCAAGACTGCTGTTGTCTTCCAGAAATCTATTTTGAAAGAAGTCCAATCAGGATGGACCCTGATTGTACAAAATAGTATTGTTTTACAATTTAAAAAATTTTGTTTGTTCTTACATCATTGCTGATGTTAGAATGGATCTTGGCTGAAAGCAGAGAACAGCAGAAAAATGCTTATTTTTGTTGTATTGATTATGTAAAGGCATTGACTGTGTGGGTCATAACAAATTATAAATAACACTGAGAAGAATGGAATCTCAGAACTGCCAGAAGTCCAGGCTGGGTTTAGAAGGGGTCGTGGTACTAAGGATATGGTAGCTGATGTTAGATGGATCTTAGCTAAAAGCGGGGAATACCAGAGGAATGTCTATCTGTGTTTCATTGACTATGCAAACGCATTTGACTGTGTGGATCATAACAAACTGTGGCTGACTCTGAGAAGAATGGGAATCCCAGAACACTTGACCGTTCTAATGCGAAACCTATACTTGGACCAGGAGGCAGTCGTCAGAACAGAGCAAGGAAACACTGCATGGTTCAAAATTGGGAAGGGTGTACACCAGGAATGCATCCTATCTCCATACCTTTTCAACCTATATGCAGAACAGATTATCCGGGAGGCTGGGCTCTATGAGGAGAAATGTGGGGTCAAGACTGGTGGAAGCTCTATCAACAATCTGCGTTATGCACATGACACAACCCTGTTTGCTGAAACTGAGGAGGACCTGAAGCACCTGCTGCAGAGGGTCAAGGACTGCAGCCTACAATATGGATTGAGGCTCAATGTCAAGAAGACAAAGATTCTCTCCACTGGGCCAATTGGAAGCATCAGGATAGATGGTGAAGAGATTGAGATTGTTCACAGCTTTAGTTTGCTTGGCTCCACAGTCCCACAGTCAACCCTCTTGGCACCAGTAGCATCAGGAAATTAAAAGGTGCATTGCCATGGGAAAGTCTGTTGTTAGAGACCTCTCCAAAGTACTGATGAGCAATGGTGTCTCTCTGTAGACTAAGGTGCATTTGATACAGGCCATGGTCTTCACAATCACTTGTTATGCATCAGAGATTTGGACAATGACCAAGGAGGACAGAAGGAGAATTGATGCCTTTGAGCTGTGGTGCTGGAGAAGAGTATTGAGAGTACCATGGACTGCTAGGAAAACAAACAGATTCATCCTGGAAAGGGTTAAACCGGGTGGCTCCTTGGAGGCAAGGATTCTGAGGCTCCGTCTAACATACTTTGGACATATTGTAAGGAGAGACCGGTCCTTGGAGAAGGACATCATGCTGGGGAGGCTGGAGGGACAGCGCAGGAGGGGAAGGCCCTCTATGAGGTGGATTGATTCGGTGACTGGGGTTATTGGGATGGGAGTGTCAGAGACAGTGTGATTGGCACAAGACAGAGTAGAGTTTAGGGCTGTTGTGCATAGGGTCACTATGAGTGGCAAGCGACTCGATGGCACATAACAACAACAACAACATTCAAAATCTATATATAGGCCAAGAAGCAGCTATCTGAATAGAACAAGGGAACACTGCATGGTTTAAAATCAGGATAGGTATGTGTTTATATTCTTTCTCCATACTTATTCAGTCTGTATGTTGAGCAAATAATATTAGAAAGTTGAACTATATGAAGCAGAATGGGGCATCAGGATTCGAGGAAAACTCATTAACACTTGCATTATGCAGATGACACAACCTTGTTTACAGAAAGTGTGGAAGACCTGAAGTATTCATTAGAGAAGATCAAAGACTATAACCTTCAATATGGATTACATCTCAACATCAAGAAGACAAAAGTCTAATGATAAATGGAAGAAATTGCAAAACTGTCAAAAATTTCATTTCTCTTGCATCCACCAACACTCATGGTAGCAGCAGCCAAGAAATCAAAATCCAGGTTGTTTTGGGAAAATCTAGCCAAGAGCCTCTGCAAAGTGTCAAAGAGCAAGAATGAGAGTTAAATGATGATGGTACGCCTGATCTAAGCCATCATATTTTCAGTTGCTTCTTATGCATCTGAAAGTTGGACGGTGAATAAGGATGATAGATTTGATGCTTTTGAATTGTCATGGTGGCAAAAAGTACTGAATCCATAGACTGCTAAAAGAAAAATCAGAGTGCTCCTTAGACACAAGGATGGTGCAACTCCATCTCACTTACTTTGGGCATATTTTCAAAAAGAAATCAGGCACTGGAGAGAGATTTCATGCTGGGAAAGGTAGGGGGTAGATGATGGAGAGGAAGACTATCAATAAGATAAACCAAGACAGTGCCTTCTACAAGGGGCATGAGCATAGGGGAGACGTTGAGGATAGTGCAGAATAGAGCAAGGGTCAGATCTGTTGTTCATATTCTCACTGTGAGTCCTGGTCGACTCCACGGTACTTAACAACATGTACAGCATGTACTTGTAGCCATTTACCTATTCCATTTGTTTAAATTATCGCTCTTAACTATTTTTTTTCCTAGAAGACTATCTTGTTTATCAAAGAAAACCTCCTTTGTATTACTGTAGTTTTTGTTGGTCTTAATTTTGTTGACCTTTGTCTTTATCCCAAGTCTTTCTTGCAGAGAAATTAGAAACAAGAAAACATTAAGGGCAGAAGTCAACAAAATAAAGACCAATAAGGAGTACAGTAAATACAATATGTAAAATAATAATTAAACAAACACTAATAATAAGTATTAACAAATCCAAAAGTTTGGGTTTTTTTTTATAAAGATACACAAAGCTAACAAGGTAGTCTGTTATAATGTCCTAAATGCTAGCAGAAGATAGGCGACTCCTTGGTCAGAGACAAAAGACCTACTGCTTCATTTTATGGGCTCCCCATTGCCCCATATATCCCACAAATGTTACATACATGGACCAGGAGGCTGCTACACTCCAGTAGCTTTGTTTCGCAGCTTAGGAAACATAACGTGGGGTTTATATTAAGAAACTCTCATCTTTTATAAGGAAGCCCTGGTGGCCTCATTGATAGGGAGTTGCTCTATCAACTCAGAGACAAGTGGTATGAATCTGCCAGCTGCGCAGGGGAAGATGGGCAATCTCCTCCCATCCAATTTACATCTAGAGAGTCAGTCATTCGTCAATTCTAATTCAAACGCAATGAGGTTTTATCTTGTAAAAATCTTTAGAAGGGGCCTCTAAACCAACCTGCCCAGGCTTTGCCCTAAAGGGAGACATCATTCTCATTTTACTGGACAGCGAACAAATCTTCCTTCAGACATTATCTCTCTTTTACAAGACTTTTCACTACATGCACTGGTGACCTGGTCTACCCTGTGCTGCTAATTTGGTTGACCAGGAATCTCGGGGGGGGGGGACGGGGGGAGGATGGGCAATTTCCTCCCAAGCAATTTATAGCCTTGGAAAGTAAATGAAGGATAAGATAGGAATTACTTCCAACTGGATAGCAGTGAGGCCGTGAGGGAAGCTCCTTATATAAACATCCTTGGAAAAAATAGCCTGGGACAAAAGTTGCTACACTTCTCAGGAGATATTAGAAAGAACAACAGACCTTGGAGAATTGTCTTCTAATAACTTTTTTTTGGTTGTTGTTTATTCCTAATATGGCTGCATTGTGAACAGAGGACATAATCTGTGTGATACTGATTTTTAGGATTATTTGTGGAGAAGTTAGGAAGAGATTGACCAGAAAAAAAAAAAGCACGCATCACTGAACCTGCCCACCACCTGCATACCCGTGGTTTCATCTGCTCCCTTAGGAACTGTTTAAAATGTTGGAAAGAAGCAGTTCTAAGAGGTGGTAAACTTCTTAGGTGGCAACCGACTGTCATTAAAGGTGTGGAGGGGAGGGGACTGTCTGGGGTCTTATACATAGTCATATACATAGTCACAGCTTAAAGGTCTTCTTACCAGGATCTTGCAGCAGCCCTGAGTAGTCTCCAGCTGACACTGTAAAATGCTGCTGCTAATCTCCCCACAACAAACAGGGGTGGAAGTGGTCCTGCCAAGCAGTGTTGGGGCCAAGCAAGAGTCCACTTTCTCATTCCAGACTGTCACTGGCTCCTATACCGCCTTACTGCTGTCCTAGATCTCCTCACGGCCTCACGGTTCCCTGTTTATTCCTCAGACCCTGGCTTCTCTCTGTCAGTCTCTCAAACCTGGATACAAGGTATTGCAAAGAGCAGGAGGCTCAGCTGTTAACTAAAAGGGCTCAGGCTCCAGGTTCCACTCAGAAATGCCTTGGGTGGGGGCTGGGAGTGGGGTAAGTCTGGTGATCTACTTCTAAAAAAACCCAGCCCTTGAAAACCATCTGGAGTACAATTCTACTGTGATGCCCATGAGGTCGCCAGGAGCTAGGAGCCGTCATTGCACGGCCATTAGTCTAACTGGAGTTCTTAAAAATACAAGGACTCGGATTTCTCAGGATTCTGATACAACTGGTTCAAGGAGGGCCTCTGATTATCAGTGGGTTTAAAGCTCCCCAAAGATTAGAAAGTTCAACAATGCTTTTAAATCAACTGTCTCTAATTTCCTCTGTTGATTCTTGGGGAGAAGGCCCTCACAGCTCTGGTGCCTTAAATTTTCCTCTCCAGAAACTGGAAACTTACATTTTGTTTAATATTCAAGTTACTGAACTAATTAATACACCTAAGAAGCAAAGATTTTTACAATGAATTCTGTTTGTGGCTCTTGTAATAATCATAGT